AAGAGGAGAAAAAAGCAGGACCAGCTGAGAGAAGAGCCTATATTAAGGCTTGGAGGCATGACAAAGCCTGAGTGAGGGCTTGGGGCATGGGCGGATGGGAGGATGAAGGAGGAACAGAGGAGAGTGAATGGAGAGACTGAAGGAAGGTTGATGGGAAGGTGGATGGGAGGATGGATGGAAAAATGGATGCAGGGGTGGATGGGAGGATGGATGGAAAAATGGATGCAGGGGTGGATGGGAGGATGGATGGAAAAATGGATGCAGGGGTGGATGGGAGGATGGATGAAAAGATGGATGGAAAATGAATGGGAGCATGAATGAAGGATGGATGAGTGGAAAGATGGATGGGAGGATGGATGACAGGATGAATGAAGGATAGATGGGAAAATGGATGGGAAGATGCATGGGAGGATAGACAGAGGAATGAATGGGAGGATGGATGAAAAGACGGATGGGAGGATGGATGGAGGATGTGTGGGGCAGGCTGGGAGGATGGATGAAAAGATAAAAGATAGATGGAGGATGGATGGGAGGATCGATGGAGAATGGATGGAGGATGACTTAGAAGATGAATGAAAAATGGATGAAGGATGGATGGGAGAATGGATGGGAGGATGGTTGAAGGATGAATGAAAAGATGGATGGCAGGATGAATGGGAGGATACATGGAAAGATAGAAAAATGGATGGGAGGATGGATGAGAAGATGGATAGGAGGATGAGTGAAGAACAAGATGGAGGGAGAATGGATGAGAGGATGAATGGAGAATGGATGGAGGATAGACAGGAGGATGGATGGGAGGATGGATAGAGGGTGGGCAGAGGAATGGATGAAAGATGAATGGAAAGAAGAATGGGAGGATTGATGGGAGGTTGAATGGGTGAGTGAATGAAAGATGGATGGAGATGGATGAAAGATGGATGGAGAATGGCTGGGAGGATGAATGAAAAGACGAGTGGAGAATGAATGGGAAGGTGGTTGAAGGATAAAAGGAAAGATGAATGGAGGGATGTATGGGAGGATGGACAGAAAGATGAATGGGAGAATAGATGGAGGATTGACGGAAAAAAAATGGATGAGAGGATGGATGCAGAATAGATGGAGGATGGATGGGAAGGTGGAAGGAGGATGAATGGAGGATGAACAGAAGATGGATGAACGATGGATGAAAAGATGAATGGAGAATGAATGGGAGAATATATGGGAAGATGGTTGAAGGATGGATGGACAGAGGAATGAATGAGAGGATGGATGGAGAACAGATGGAGGAAGGGTGAGAAGGTGGAAGGAGGATGAATGGAGGATGAACAGAGGATGGATGGAGGATGACTGGTAGGATGGATGAAAAGTTAGATGGAGAATGAATGGGAGGATGGTTGAAGGATGGATGGAAAGATGGATGGGAGGATGCATGGAAGGATAGACAGAGAAATGGATGAGAGGATGGATGGAAAGACAGTCGGGGATGGACAGAGGAATGGATGGGAGGATGGATGGAAAGATGGATGTGAGGATGGATGGAGAATGGATTGAGGATACATAGGAAAATGAATGGGAGGATAAATGGCCGGGTGAACAGAGGCATAAATGGAAGATGGATGAAAAGACAGATAAGAGAATGGGAGGATGGATGAGAGGATGAATGAAGGATGGGTGAAGGATGGATGAAGCGTGGATGGAGGATGACTGGAAGGATGGGTGAAGAGATGAATGGGGGATGGATGGGAGAATGGATGAGAGGATGGTTGAAGGATAAACGGAAAGATGGATAGATGAATGAAGGATGGATGAGAGGATGGATGGCAGATGGACAATGGATGGGGGATGGATGAAAGGATGGATAGGAGGATGATTGGAGGATGGATGGGATGATGAATGAAGGATGGATGAGATAATGGAGGGAGAATGGATAGATGGGGAAATGGATGGATGGGAGGATGGATAGGATGATGGAGGGAGAATGGATGGAAGGACAGCTGAAGGATGGATGAACAGATGGATGGGAGAATGAATGAAGAATGGATGGGAGTATGGATGGAAAGATGGATGGGAGAATGGATGGAGGATGGATAGATGGGTGGAAGGATGGAAGATGGATGGAAAGATGAAGGGTGGATAGATGTGAGAATGGATAAAGGATATAAGGGAGAATGAATGGCAGGATGAATGGGAGGATGGACGGCTGGATGGATGGAAAGTTGAATGGGAGGATGGATAGGAAGATGTATGGGAGAATAAATGAAGAATAGATGGGAGAATGGATAAAGGATACATGGGATAATAAATGGGAGGATGGATGGGAAGATGGATGGAAGGATGGATGGGATGATGAATGAAGGATGGATGGGTGAATGCATGAAAAGATGGATGGTAGGATGGGTGAAGAATTGATCGAAAGATGGATGGAAGGATGGAGGATGGATGGAAAGATGGAGGGAGGATGAATGAAGGATAGATGGGAGAATGGATGGGATGATGGACAGAGGAATAAATAGGAAGATGGATGGAAAGATGAATGGAGGATGGATAGAAGGATGTATGGGAGAATTAATGAAGAATGGAGGGGAGGATGGATGGAAAGATGGATGAGAGGATGAATTAAGGATAAGTGGGAGGATGGATGGGAAGAAGGATGGGGAATGATTGGGAGGATGAATAGAGAATGTATGGAAAGATGGGTGGGAGGATGGATGGAGGATGGAAGGAAAGATGGATGGGAGGATGAAATGGGAAGGTCGATGGAGGATAGATGGGAAAATAGATGGCAGGATTGATGGGAGGATGGATGGGGGATGAGTGGAAGACGGATGGAGGTTGGTTGAGGGATGAATGGAGGATGACCGAGGGGATGAATGGAAAGATGGATGGAGGATGAGTGGGAGATGAATAGGAGGATGGATGGCAGGATGGATGGGTAGATGGATGATAGATGGGTAATTGGATAATGGATAGGGGATGGTTGAAGATGGATGGAAAAATGGATGGGAAGATGAATGGGAGGATGGATGGGAGCATGAATGAAGGATGGATGATAGGATGAATGGAGCATGGATGGGAGGGCGGATGGTAGGATGGATGAAGTATGGATGGGAGAATGGGTGGGTGGATGGGCAGGAGGAACAGAGGAGGGGCTGTTTCACGCAGTTATGCCCATGTGCTATGGCGACAGACCAGACTAGGATTCAAACCCCAGCTACTCTATATGATAGTAGTGTCATCTTGTATAAGTTTTGTAACCTCTCTGAGCCTCAGCTTTCTTGGGCAGGAGGACAGACAGGAGGAAATGCAGATGGAATGATTAAGTGAGTACTCTAATACATGTAGAATACTTAGGATAGGCCCTGACACACAGTCAGTGCTTAATAAATGTTCACTCGATGATTGCATCGTATGTTCTGAACTCAGCCTTGGGGACGTGTGTGAGGAGTGAGACGCTGGGGCTGCCCTCAGGGACTCATCGTCCGCTAAGCAAAGTGATCAGTTCCGATTCAGGGCCCCTTGGGATGGTCAGGGAAAGGGCCCCATGGGTGGCCTGAGTCGGAAGGAAGGAAGGGGGGAAATGATCATGAATCTGTATTGACCAGGCCCAGGGTCAAGGCGTTGGCAGCCGCAGAATACTCAGGGGACCGGGAAGAGGGCCTGGCTGGCCCTGAGGGGCATCAGCACTGGAGGCCTGGAGACCAGAGGAAAGCCAGGGGAGGGTGGGAACCAATGTGGCAGGGATCAAAGGGGAGAAGAAAGAAATGGGTCATTCGGATTTGGCCGGGGACTTCTGAAAGAGCTGTTTAGTGGCAGTGGGGCTGGGAGGCCATCAGCTGAGGAGCGCAGTGAGGGCTGGGCAAGAGGGCAGAGAGTGGTTCACGCCATAGCAGCTGCTTTCAAACACCAGAGGGGCTACTCTGACAGTTCTCTCCCTTGCTCAGGCAGAACCAGGGCCCGCCCCCTCCCCCATGTGCATTTCCAGGCCTGCCCTGGGTGAGAAGCCTCCTCCGGTTCACGATGTGCGCAATGACCAACTGCGGGCTCTGGTTGGATTCTGACAGTCTGAGCCCCATTCGGGTGGACCGGAACACAGAGGCCTCTCCTCCCCAGGAGGGAGCCGGCCATGGGGACAGCCTTTCCCAGCAGGCCTGGAGAACCACCAGCCAGGCGGCGGGCCTTTTCCTGCGGTGGCCCACACTCTCAGGATGTGAGAGACAAAGTATGAAGGATCTGAAGCGGGGGCTCTGTGTCCAGGGAACTGCCAATCTGTCATTTGATTGGGGCCAAGAGCCCCCAGGGGATCCTGTCCTGAAGTTCTCTGATGCTATAGCCAGGGCAGGGCCCCTCTTGACCTCCTCCTGTCTGCTTCTGAGGCCCCAGGGAGGGTGGCAGGCTCCCTGAGGGTCACCTGAGCTCAGTTTCCGGTCCTCTGTGAGGCAGAGCTGCCTGGGGTCCCCCTTGCCCACCTGGCATCCCGAGGTGACAGCTCTGGCTGACTTGCCCCTCACTTCCCTCCTCTATGTTACAACTTGCCATATTTTGTGGCCCGAGGGCTGAGAATTCCAACAGGCAAGAGCGGGGATGGGACCGCCCACCCAGTTCCAGTCGTGTGTCTTACTAATTATGCCACACACTGGAAAACTTAATTAAATCGATGCTCGATGTGTAATTTCAACTAGTTTGGAAGTCGGGGGAAATCAAACAAACAGCCGCGTGGCCCAGCCAGCCCCCTGTCACCTTGGCAAAGTCCCGCTGGGTCCCGGGTGCTGGGGTCCCGCCCTGTTCGGCTGTGGTGAAAATGCCTCCTTCTCTCAGGGTCCCCAGAGGAAACCCCTGCTCCCTCCACTCCGCAGCCTCAATTACAAACACGCACACACATACGCCCCACAGACGTGCACATGCACACACACACACACACACACATGCACGCACATACACAGCAGGAGCTGCAGGAGGAAGCCAGGCAGCCAGTGGGGACCCAGGAGGGTGGGAACACCCCAAGAATGAGGGCTGGTTTTCGTTTATTGCATTAAATGGTTATACAGACAGCAGGAGAAATACACAAGGAAAGGCCAGGCGCCCCAAACACAAGTCCAGCGCCTGAGCTTCCTGGCATTCATTTCCAAGTCTCTCTTGGACCCTCCTCCTCCTTCTCTCTGTTCATCTTTGGGGCACACCTGTGCTGTATGTTCTGCATGGAGGGGACCTCAGCCACAGGCAGTCCTTGTCCCACAGGGGCCCAGGAAGAGCGTCCCGGTAGATGGCAGTGGCAGAGGGAAAGAGAGGGGTGGAGGGGACAGGAAGCCGCTGCTGGGCTGGACCTGGGCGTCCTCTCGTTCATCCCTGTGTGGGGTTTTGAACTGTGTACTCTGTCAACAAAGAGAATTTGGAGAAAAACAGAAGAGGGACTCCAAGGCAGTGGGAGAAACTCAAGTGAGCATTTACTCAACAGCTTCCACCACCAGAATCTTTCTCCGGGGCTGAAGATGTGTGGGGTGGCACACAGCGTCACACAAGACAGGCCCTGCGGAGGAGACGCGGTACCGTGAGACGTGAGGGGACACACAGACGTCAGGAGAAGAGAGTCACGAAGAGCAAAGTGCTCCAGGCCAGAGCCTGTGGCCTCCAGCTCACCTTAGAACAGTCCCCAGAGATCGCCCCTAGTTCGCGGGTGAGGAAACTGAGGCCTGGAGACCTGAGTCAGTGCGCGGCAAACATCGAAGCGAATTTGAAGAGGCTCAGCCTCGGTGGGTGGCTGCGTGCTGCTGACTTGTGACTGAAAGGGCACACAGGGACAGGGACGGTGCTCAGGGCAGGCCTCTCGGGGGGGTTTTGAGCTGGGGCCCAATGAACCAAGTGCTGGCTGTGGGCTGGGCACAGGGCTTTTTTGGGCAGGCATCTCACTTCTGGGTAGCCTGCCCATGGCTGCATTCTAGAGACCAGGAGCCTGAGGCCCACAGAGCTTATGGAGCAGCCTGCATTCTCAGGGCTGGGGAGAGCAGCCGGGGGCTCGGACCTCGCCGTGCCGCGCTCGCCCGTCCACCATGCTGCCCTGTTCTCAGAAGGCCACGCGCTCCCAGCACACAGGAGGAGCCCAGATGGGAAAGGGCTGGAGCATGAACGCGACAAGGTCTTGCCTTCGGAGGGGCGAAGGTTGTCCCAGGGTCCCCTGTCCCCTCTACCCACTCCCAGAGGGACGGCCCTGCAAGCGGTGGCCACCCAGACCTTGCAGGGGTGAGGCCCCGGGCTGCCGAGGAACCAAGGAGAGGCTGCTCTCACTTCCCACACTCCCGGACCCTGGGTCCCTCAGCCTCCCGCTGGCCCCGCCACCCAGCTCTCACTGACACTGGCTCTGGGACAAGCAGGAGACTCCCCGGTGACCTGCCAGGTTCGGGCCTGGGCTCCAATCCTGCGGGCCACTCCTGACCTGGCCACTCCACCGCATCTCCCAGCCCCATCTCCCTCCTGGGGACCCGGGTCCCTGGGCTTTGTGAGGCTGAATTCTTCTCAGTTCTCAGATGTTAAGGCCATCTCCTCAAAGAGGCCTCCCTGAGCCCCCGCCCCCACGATTATCATGCAGGCATTCTCTCTCTTCCTCCGGTGGCTGTGGGTTTGTTCCTGTCCAGGTGGCGTGGGCTACTTCCTGCCATGCTGTCCCTCTATCCCCAGGATCCAGGGCAGACCGGCTGGGGAAGGTCGCCGTAGATGCTGGTGACTCCAGGGGACAATCTGGGTCCCTTCTCCTCCAGGAGAGTCCTGAATTGACTTGGAATGTCGGGGCCCAGCCCCAGTTCTGAGCCCTGCTAGGTCACTGGTGGATCTTCTCCAAGCAGCCAGGCCCCAGCCTAGGCCCACTCTTCCAGTGACCTGAACAAAAGGAGGGTGGGGGCTGCTGTCTGGAGCAGGCTTGGGAGGGGAGCCCACTGCTCAACCCTGACAGCCCCTGCCAAACTCCCCAGGATCCAGTAGTGGGGCAACGGGGTGGGAGGGGCACGGGGGTGGGAGGACACCAGCGTAGGTGCTGGTTCCCTTGGTGGTCTGTGCCTCAGAGCCCCAGAGACACTTCTCCACTCCTCCCAGCCCTCTTTCTGCTGCCCTCCCCTCCCTCCTCCCTCCTCCCTGTCCTGCCCTCTTCCTTCTCTTCCCTCCCTTCTCCCTCCCCCTCCTTATCTCCCTCTTTCCCTCCTTCTCTCCTTCCCTCCCTCTCCCTTCTCCCTCCCACCTTCCCTCCCTCATCTCCCCACCCTCCTCCCCAGCCCTGCCCTTCACAGCTCTCCTCTCCCTGTTCCTGAGGTTCTCTTGGTCCCTGCCTCTCTCCTTTTCTGTCTCCAGTTCTTTCCTCCCCACCTCACCCCCGTCCAAGAGAGGGGCTGCAGGGGCCAGTGGTTTGCAGTTCCCAAAGCAGTCATCTGTCTGCATCTGCGCCTCTGCAGAACTGGGTTCTCTGGAAAACTGAGGCTGCCTAAGCCTGGACCTGCAGCCCTGCTCCTCAACTCCTCCCCACCCTCCTCCCTGCTCCCCACCTCCTCTCCATCCTCCTCCCTCCTCCCCACCCTCCTCCTCTTCTTTCCTGCCCCCTCCTCCCCCCTCTGCCCTCTCAAGCCAGTATTTTTAGCTCGCTGCTGTGCATTCGTGTGCAGGGTGTTCTCTGACGCCTGGATGAGGTTTTATCTGTCGTGGCAGCCCCAAGGGCAGCTGGCAGACTTTTTCCTCTTAAGTTTGGAGCGCACTCCCCTCTTCCCAGGCTCGAGCCTTGGCTAGATGGGGGCTGGTCTCTCGCCTGCCTGGGTCTGGGGCCTGAGCTCGGCGTCCAGGCTGCCTGGCCTCCCCTCCCTGCCGCTGCCTCCCTTGCCTGCTCCCCCTCCTCTTCCTCATCCTCGGGCCTTTGTCTCTGGAAGACACGGAGCTGCTGGAGTGCCTGCCTGCTGGAGTGCCTGCACCACACGCGGGCTCTGCAGCCTCTCGCCGCCTTCCCCTCCCTTCTCTTCTAATTTAGCCCTTTCCTTGGGCAGCCTCTCTCAAGGCTCCAATCGTTCTCCGTTTGTTCCTCTCCTTCCCTGCCTTCCTTTTTCCACCTCCTCCTTTTCTCCCTCCCCCTTTTCTCGCCTCTCCTGACACCGTTCTCCTTGCCTTTAGGGAATGGAAAAAAACCCCACAGTTGGAATGTGGGGACCCCAGCTTTACTCCACCATCCCGTATTTTTTTCTGCCCTCAGCAGCCACCCCCTGGACAACAGGGTGGGGGAATGGGGAGGGCATTGTGAGAGGATTCTGGGGCTGAGGGGGTTCCTGGAGCCCAAGTCACCAAGGCGAGCCTTCTGCAGGTCCCACCCTCATGCCCATGCCTTTCTGGAATCCCTGGGGTGCAGCCTGACTCTGGTGGGACCTCCATGTGGCCTGGGCAGGAGCCAGCACAGCCCTGCTCCTTCCCCAGGCTGTCTCTGCCCCTCCAACCCGGGTCCTCAGAAATTTCTTCTCCCTCCCTCTTCCCCCATCTGGCACCAACCTGAATTTACCGTTGTGAATATCACTTAAAATAATCAACCTGTTGTCCTCAGCACTTTACAGTTTGCACATCTCTCTGCTCAGGTCACAGCAACTATGTACATTGGGCCCTATTTCACTCTCCCTGGTGATAAAGGAGGCACGTGCCCAGCACCTCGGGCACTGCCATCAGACCTACCTGAACCGGACCTAGGTCTCACCTTGCTGAGCCTTCACGTGGGCACCAGGATCAATACCTTCTTGGGGCTCAGAGACTCAGAGACGCAGTGTCCTCTGCCCGAGGTCACACAGCCCCAGCTGGTGCAGAGAAGAGGTGTTTGGGGCTAAGTGTGAGGAGCTTGTGACCTCGGGGGACTCCACCATCTCCTTCCGGGGCCGTTCTCATGCCTGTCCTCTCCCCCGGTCAGGATGGGGCCGGGACTGACGGAGCCCCCACCCTTTGCTTCCTCACCTACTCCTGACCCCCCGGGCTTTTCTGTGGGGCTGACTCGGGATGGCTGGTGGAGAAGGTGCTGCCTGTCTCCCACACTTTGTGCTGGCTTTGTCTTCCTCGTCCCATCCAAGACCCCCAGCCTCAGCACCCCTCTGTCCGCCCCACTCTCTGGGCGCCCTGCTGCAGTCTGGACTCAGCTTGCCTCCTCCCCTCTCCTCTCTCCCTCAGGCCTCTGCTTTCCTGATTCTGCCACCTGGGCTGGCCCCTGGCTGGGCCCCCTCCATCCCGTCTGTCGTCCCTCTCTCCGAGGGCCTCTCCCTGCAGCTGCGGCATGTTCCCTGCTCTCCGTGCATTTCCAGCACAGTCTCTGTGTCACCCCAACCCTCTGCTGCCTGTATCTCCCCCTCTCTCCCTCCCTCTCCTGTCCTGCTGTTTCTGCTCACCCCAACATGGGCACATGCACACACGCGCAAAGACACACAGAGGCACACGCAGGGGCCGGTGCAGACATGCAGCTCATACACGCAGCCCATACAGTTGTTACTGCAGCAGTGGAGGGACAGAGGCTGGCCCCAGGAGGAGGCAGAGGAAGGGGACCCCCTGCCCAGTCCTGATGTCCCCAGGCCTGCAGGCGCCTCATGGTGGGGTGGAGTTCTGGGCTGGACAGGCTCCCATGGTCCTGTGGCTCTGTCTTCTGAGTCTCAGGGGCAAGAGACAGCCTTAATGGGGCCAAAGCTTCCAGAATTCTGGCAGGAATCCCCAGCATACCCGACCAGTGCTGGTCCCAGGGCAGGGACCTGGAAGTGGGCACAGTTCTGAGGGCAAAGGGGTTGGGTCGGGGCAGGGGCAGCAGAGACAGCCACTCAGCACAGGATCTGAGGGGGCAGCCACGGGGCCTGCACCAGGAGGCCCTGAGAGGTGACTGAGCCTCCATGCCTGGGTTCAGTGCTGCTATGGACGTGGGAAGCCTCCTCACCAGAGTTCCCGGGCCCTCTGTCCCCACTGCTCTCTAGGTGCTGGTGGGAGCCTGACAGTCCTGGGTTTGAATCTCACCCCCTTTCACTAGCTGTGCAACTTTGAGGGGTGACTGATCCCCTTCCCCTCCCTAAGGGGGTGATGCAGCCACCTGCCCTCAGGACCCAGTGGGGCCTCCATATCGCCAGCCTGGGGGTGGGACAGCCCAGTGCTGTAGAGTCAGCTCTGGGTTCAAGTCCTGACGCTTTCAGTAGAGAAAGGGGGCAGGGCTGGGGGTGAGCCTCCTTGCCCCGTGTGGGCCTGGGCCCTCCCCTGCAGCAGGGTCTGGTCTTGGCAGCCTTTCTTTGGGTTTGCACTGGGATCGGAGCTGGCACTGGATGTTTCCTGTTTGGGGGATTCTGTCTTAGGGGTGCTGAGTGGGTGGGGGACTGCTGGTATTGGCGCCTCTCGCTGCATGCCCGGGGCTCTCAGCCATTCTGCTGATGTCCACTGAGTGTGGTCGGCCGTGAATTGGAGTCTGGGCAAATCTCTGGACCCACGGAGCCTCTGTTTCTTCCTCTAGAAAATGGGGATAACAACAGCATAACCCTCCCGGGTGTGAGGCTGCACCAAGAGCACCCTGGAACGCTCTGAGCTCAGCAAGTGCTGAGGTTCAAATGGGAGTGGTGGTTGTTCGCTGTTTTATCTGCTGGGCACAGCTTTAGGTATCCAGGCCATCCCTCTGCCCTCAGCCCACATGAAGTTTCTGCTCCAGAGCTGAGAGCTCAGGGACCCTGTTCCCCAGTTTTCTGTGCCTAACAGAAGATGGGGTGGGGGAACAAAAAGGGGATGGAGTCTGCACCCTCCCCAGGGCTAGAGGGGGGCCTCCCGCTGTGAGCAGGGCCCAGTCCCTCCCCAGCTCTGACGCAGACCGCTGGACATTGGGAGGGTGCTGTGCTCCCTCAAAGATCTGGCTTTGCCCCAAGATTGGAAGCCAACCAAGAGGGAGGGGCAGGGGCTCCGAGGGAGGCAGAGTGTGGGGAGTAAGAGGGTCACCGCACCTCCATGAGCAGGGGACAGGTTGGGCTGGAAAGATGTCAGGCCTCAGGGGCATCCTCAGAGTGCTGTCCCCAAAGTTGGGGTGTGTCTCAGCTCCAGCAGGGAAGCCCGTCTTCCTCCTGTCTGCACCCCCTCCCTCCTCATGGTACCTGTACCTCTACTGATTTATGTTTATTTGTTTATTAATCCTCAGGCTCCCCCCAGAAGAGTGTCAGCTCCTTGAGGGAAGGAATGTGGTCTTATTCTGTGCTGCATCCTCAGCACAGGGTAGGGTGCCTGGGACATTGAGGTATTCACCAACAGCTGTCGGATGAATGAGTGAGTGCGGAATGAGTGGCTTCTGGGGCAGCTGGGGCTTGTGGCCTGAGAACACCAGCTCCACCTGTCCCTTTCTAGACGTGGACAGAGGGCAGATGCTGACCTGCTCGTTGATAGCCAGCCTGGGGGTGGGACAGCCTCCAGGCATGGCTATGGAGTCAGCCCTGGATTCAAGTCCTGATGCTTTCAGTAGGAAAGGGAGCAGGGCTGGGGACTGAGCCTCCCCACCCAGTGTGGGCCGGGGCCCTCTTGGGCAACAGTCTTTCTCCTGGTTTGCACTGGGCTGGGAGCCAGCACTGGATGTGTCAGGTTTAGGGGTCATGGAACCTCAATGTCTTCCTCAAAGCCTCAGGCTGAGGGCCTTGTGGGACCAGTGCCCTCACTCCCTGCTTTGGTTTCCTTGGCTCAGCCCCCGGCCACTCCCCGGTACCGCCAGTGGATCACCGTGTCGTCCCCACTTGCTCTCCCACCAAGAGATCCTTTGCACAGGCCGTTCTCTTCGCTGGGCATGCCATTCCCTCTGCTTTCTGCATGGCTGCTCCTGAGACTCCTTCCTTCCTCCAAGGCAGCTCCGTCTCCCTGCAGGCCATGCCCCGTGACTCCCTTCCACCTTTGCACTTAGCCCAGCCCACACGCATCTCTCATGTCACTGTGTTTCTCTTTGAGGGTCACTTGACTGTCTCCTTGGAAAGTTAGCTCCATGCAGATTTGGCCTGGGCTGACCTGCCTGCTGTTGCCTCCCCAGTGCCCTCACAGTATACACTATGGAAGGTACCAGAGCTTAGAGCAAGGCCTAGCACACAGGGCATGCAATGGTGAATGAATGGACGAAAGAACAGACGAATGAATGATGGAACAAACAAAAGTGTGAGTTTTGGGATTAGACTGCCTGGGTTTGCATCCTCACCAGCTCTGACCCTTGGGCAAATTATTTAACCTCTCTTGGCCTCAGTTCCCTCATATATAAAATGGGGATAATCACAGTGCCTATCTCATAGGGTGGTTATGTGGATTAAGTGGTTTCAGGGAGTATTTGATATCTACAAGTGTGTAGCATATGAATATCACGTGAGATTTTTGGGCATACCCTGTGCAAACCCCAACTCTTGATGGGGTCTCAGGAGCAGCCGTGCAAAGAGCAGCGGGAATGGCATTCCGGCGGAGGAAACAGCAGCACAGGATGTTTTGAGGGGGAGAGCAAGAGGGGAAGGGAG